GACGAAAAGTGTTCTTACCGTGCCAGCATGTGTGCAAATGAACTCCCATGCAGTGGTCATTTCTACTGTTCTACTTGTACTCCAAGTATGACATACAGTAATTGGTTTCAGTTGGATTAGGGCTGTAGTGAGTGTTGTCTGTATATTCAAAGGCAAAGACAAATGCAGTCATAACCCAACAACAGTCCTGAGGTGTGCCAGGATTCAGGGAAATGAAAGCAGCATTTCATTCCTCTAGCTCTCAGTTTCCTGTTAAATAAAGAATTGCTTGTGCCAGTGGATTTTTACACAATTCACACGCTCACAAAATGCTGGTCGCCTCAGATATATAAGGACCCAACTGAGCCAGCAATACCAGTAAAATCATGGATCAAGCCTATATGGGTATGGAAGAAATATCAGGCAGCAACATAAAGTTGAGAAGGCTGGTAGAAACTTCAGAAGACAATTATATTGATGATGAAGTGAGTCAAACTGTGCAATGTGAAACGACTGGACTTGGACTCCCAGGTAATAAACAAAAACAAGTAAACATATTAGATTTAGATACTACATTGATATGTGATGATGAATTATTTTGCAGAAATAAAACAAAAAGTAAAACTAATACCGGGTAGATGTAGGGTCCGGTTTGCTGCAAAGTTACTGTAGTTTTGGATGTTTTGTTTTTAATTTTAAAGATTTATATTTTAAGGTATTTTTTTTTTTATCTGTATTTGATTGTGCTGAAATGACTAGTTGACAGGTGAATCTTGGCCCATAATTTTGATTAAATTGTAATTTTTGTTTTTAATTCAGGATAGGCTCAAACACATTCAGCGTGTGTTTATTTCAGTTCAGTTTTAATAGTTTAATAAACCAAAAAACTTTGGTTTTTATTAGTTTCAGTGTTAGTTTTAATTTACACTGTGGTCTGTGGTTGTCAGATTCTAAGTTCAAAAGAGAAAATAATACAATAAAATACTGTGCGACAATCACAGTGTTTGTGTCACAGCCATAATCACACAGAAACAAGTTTGCTTCTTTGTGGTCAGATGTTGATTTCAAGAGCAGAAGTTCACATATTACTTTGTAGAGAAAACAGTATTTTATGTTACGATAATCTATATGAGGATATAAATATTCTTCACCTTTAGCATTGTAACAAATATAAACTTCTACCTGCAGAGTCTGAATTTGTAAAGAAGAGTTGCTGCAGAGCTGCTGTGATTCTTCTGGGTCTGCTGTGTCTTTTCCTCCTGATTGGATTCATAACTGTGGTTTTTCTCTGTGAGTACAAGAAATATGTAATTAGCATGCTAAAAACCTCACAGGCAATGTTTTTATTTGATATTGGCATGTCCTACAGTCACCCAAGGCAAATCTCCTGGTGAAATGGACACAGTGTTGCTACACAGGCTTTACAACAACTTGACCAGCGAGAGAAACCAATTACTGACCAGTTACAACAAGCTGACAACCGAACGAGAACAGTTACTGACCAGTTACAACAACTTGACAACCGAACGAGAACAGTTACTGACCAGTTACAACAACTTGAAAACTGAAAAGGACCAATTGCTGACCAGTTACAACAACGTGACAATCGAACGAGAAAAGTTACTGACC